ACATCGGCGAACGTTAAGTTGGCACATTTTTCGTGTAAATAGTCTACCAACGGCCCGCATACTTTCAGCAACGGTATTGCAAACATCGTGCGTCGAATATATGGTTCGATACACCAAAGTTCGGAACATTTTTATCTGCATAACGTATGGCGAATAAAGTTTCGCGTAGATAAACTTTTATTCGTGTGCCGCGAATAGTGAGATCAACGAGAAACATATGGTACCATCGTCGACGCATAGCCAACATTAATAACGAGTGTTGTAGGGAGATGAAAAGTTCGGAGCTGAAAGAGATTGTCGGTCGTGTTTAGTCAAATGTTTGATGGAAAATTTAGAATGATTTTTCAAAAGTAACACCGTGAAAAACTTTTGACCCGTTGTAACCCATGTCAAGGCAGATAGAATGGTGTACAGCACAACCCTTCACTGTTTTTCATGCACAAAATTATTCAGGTAGCTTCCTGCAGCTGAGATATCCAGTATGCTCTCAACGCTTCCTAATTTTATGAGCTCTGGAATTTGTGGATATTCCCTTGTTGGACAGTTAAATTATACTCCGAGTTGTAAGTATGTACACGCATTAAACATCGTTCGTTATATATTTGCACACGCACTATACATTGTACACGTAATAACCGTACCTTACATAATACAACATAATGTAAAATACTCATTTTCGATCAACAATTTTACCGTTTCAAATAAAAACGGAGTAAACGAAAACACGAAAATCAACACATGTTTAAATCCCAATTGTTCACGTGCGACGATACGCTGTTTCGACACGGAGTGTATTTGAAGTTCGACGAAAAGTTGTGCCAGAACACCTATGAAACGCAACGAACGATTGAAAACTCAATGCCGGAGCTTCCATTAAAAAGTTATTGCAACTTTTAAAGCCATCAGAAAGAACGATCAATATTGTCGTTATGAACTGTTCGGAGAAATACAATGGAAGCTTCCGTGTTTGAATGTGTGTTGATGAGTCTGTTGTGTTTTGGCGAACCCGGGATGGTTGATTGTTAAAGAAATAGTACTACGAGTTGGCCAAATTTTTTACCATTTTAATTCTCGGCACTGACACTAGTATACAGCTAGACTTGACATCGCAGAAAACAATGAACTGTTAATAATCATTACTTTGGAAACTTTGTGAAATTGAACAATTTTTTAATGTCATGTGAACAAACTACTAGTTATATTAAATATGGTAAATTTCAACGACTCATAATCTCTCATAAATAATTATAAACGTACACGTGTCTATATAACTAAGCGGCTAAATCGAATGTTAGACACTTGTTCTATTATGTGAGATTTCGCGTATCTCTTGTCCCCTCGATAATTTCGCATAACAGATATACACAGAGCAGGAGTGAAAAATTCGAAAGGGTAAAATAAGTCGGTCTTTTGTCAAGTTAGTCGAACAAACTTGCAAATTTTATCGCTGGAACAGTGGTATTAAACTACGAATGAATTCGTTCCGCGGCGTTAAGCGATTACGAGCGATACACGCGAACGCGAAATTCCCAATGAAACAAGATTTTCGAAGATTAGGACAAGGTTGCTGTGTGTGTGTGTGTGTGTGTGCACGCGTTCATGAATATGAACGAGCGTTACTTTCCCCGGGCGCAATTACTTGGCCTGGCAAAGCGATGAAATCAAGGGAAACAATAAGGCGAGCGCGAAACCAAAGAACTCGAGGGGATGGCAAAGACGCTGGTGGAAACGGCATATCTGATTCCGTTTCTCGTTATATTTCCGTGTATCTCCTGTAACAGAGAATTACCTATCGATTCCGAGCGTGCAACTTGCCGCGGCAGCAGCGTGCAAACGGTAGTTATATGAACTTCGCCATATGGACTACCCTAATGCTGATTGTGAATCCAACAAAGCGATCCACCGAACGGATGTAGAAACTTAATCTTCCGCGTGAGGGGAGGGCTTGAAACGTAATGAATGCGAGTAATATAGAAATTGTAAAAGGTACTATCGGACGTTCCTCTTATCGTGATCCCTTTATCGCGGTTACCTGTAAATTATAACTGCTGGGGCCATTGTACCGGCGTTTCTATGGATTTCTAGCCACCGTGTGTATTCGGCACTTGCATTCGTGCCGTAACCGTGCTTTATGATTTTGGTTAGTGACGTATTGTCCAGTAAATATATCGTTATGGGTACTCGAGAAATAAATATCTTCTACTTTCTGCACCTTCACTCTTGTATTTTTTATACATTTTCTGAGATAAAGTTCGCAGTTTTTTTTTGTTTTTTTTTTTTTTTTGTTTTTTTTTTGTGGTTTTTTTTTTAAACATATTATCATCAACGTTATGATTCATTGTAGTATGTTATTAGATTCTTATAGATATACCGCGAATGTCATTAATTTTAATGATAATTTTAGGAAGTAATACAAATTCGATCGCTCACAATCGTCAAATTAATCAGTAAACATGATTACTGGATTGGAGTAATCACCGTGAAGTGGTGTTAGTTATGTGCACCGGGAAAAGTTATGTGCATATAGTTGCTCTATAACGATTGTTCACATCTATGGCCAAATCAGTTTTAATCGCTTTCGAATTAAACAATCGGAACAGAAGTAAAATTTAAACCTTTCGAAAGTAAAATTGATCTTTTTCGTACAAATGTTTCAAAATTCCGTCAGTTTAAGTTTTATTAATTACCTCTGTTGATTTAGCTTGTGTTAATATAACTGAAATATGAACTGAGCTATGGCATGTGTTATATACATCGTAGTTATATGTATATAACTAGCCAGTGGAATACGAAGTTAAATCAAATATGTTTGCGATCCTCTTTATACGCCTGGGAGTTTAATAATAATTAAAATATCATCCTTTAATGGCTACGATTCATTGAGCAGAAAGTAAAATACTCCTTATTCAAAGTAACTGTTGTGCGAAAGAAAATGTAGCAACTGTAAAGTTTTATAAAATTTAATCAATTAAAAACATTCTAATACTCGTTATAAATTCTTTCGAAACTAAAACTTGTATTTGTCCTATCCGAGTGAAACTGGAAATGGGCGAACTTATTTGATAAAACTTTCATTCAAACTGTTTAAATGAAGCATATTAAAAAAGTTTCACGATTGCATCGACCCCTGCTTATAATATTACACTTTATACCGAAATATTTAATTGTCAGATTCTGCTTGAAATTGTGCTAGTTTATTTTTTATATAATTCAGTTCACCCGTAACTTTCGCCAATATTTATTAACTATTTCACACTATTAAATGAACGGTTTTTTTTAAATCATTCACTGTAATTTGATCTACAGCATTAATTAAACTCATCGTGAATCGATATATAAACATACACACTACAACACTTTATTCATCGTATAAAGTTACTTGCAATGTTTTTAATAAATAATATTACTCATTGCACTGTTGTATTTATCTATTCACTTATTTATCAAAAACAAGTCCTTTTCTATGCAATCTTATTCTTCCCATTGATAATTCAACGACTGCGATATTTTCACTGTACACAGGTAGCACAGTCAATAATCTTTTAATTGGAGGCTCGTACGAAAGCGTTAATGAAATATAAACTATCCCTATTATATAGAAACCAAATTTTTGCTTCTCAGAATATTTATTTCTTCAAAACGAACAATTTTCTGCTTCGCCTTTCCTTGTATCACCTCAAGGATCAGAGATTTTCTAGATGCTCGAGTCGGTGGAAATACCCGATATACAGGATGTGACACGTAAATCGAACTAGTAGCACTGCTTGTTTCATTAAAAAGAACGTTGAAGACAACCGTCGAATGGTATAACACGGTCTGCCATTCTACGAATTTATGTCTAACATAATTTTAACAAGACGACTGCACGGTTCAGCTGTACATTTTCAAATGGAATAAAACATATCTTTTCAGATGAATCGATTTCTTTCGTCACTCTGCGTGTAAAAATATTAGGTGTCAATCATAGCATAACAAGTATTTTTTTTTTTCAATAGTTTCATACGTATTTTATTTAAAATACCGATCGAAGTATTCATTATTCCAATACTATTCTCCGATATGCAGTACGACGTGAAGAATTAAGAAAGTATAATTAACAATCGACTGGTGCATCGGAAGAAAAATGAATAGACAAAATGGCGAACCCTGTTATATCATTTAAATTCTTTTTGTGACATAACCGTTTATTTCCATCGAAACAAGAGGTATCCGTAGCAAATTGCGTGACGCACCCTGTATATTTCCAACCAATCCCAGTGTAACCGGAGGGTGTTCGAAAATATCGATAACGGTACATCATTTTCTACTAGACTTCTCATCCATTTCGTTCTAGTTTCGATTCCGGTGAACTAGAGGTATCGCAATTTTTGAATTTGCTCCTTTCACCTTTTCGACGCCAGTTTAGCCATCGCGCGTACCTACAGCGAGTGAAAGACAGGCGAACTTTGCGATTTTTGGGCGGAAAATTTCCTTCTTTGATTATGAATTTAATATCTATTTATTTTGTAAGCTTTCTAAATTTTATAGGTTTTGATGAAAACTAGAATATTATTATATGTATAAAATTTAATATAACATTTGAAATATTAAAATGCTTTTTACAAACATATGAACGCTATAGCTTTTGTCATAGATGATTTCGATTATCATTTTCTGGAAAATAGCGACCATATGAATATATGCTATATGTAATATGTTATATGTATTATATGTGAATTACGTAATATTTTTCACGTAATTTTTTTTTTTTTTTTTTTTTTTTTTTTTTTTTTTTTTTTTAATAGAAACTGAAACATATTAGCAATATAGAGCGTTCGGTTTCGAATTCGTTGACCCCTTAGTTTATCACCCCCGAAACCTTCACCTACCCACCATCTCGAGTACTTGTCGCTCCCTCATATCATATTGTAATGTACATGAGTGTCAGTTATTAAAATCACGTAGTTGTTTCTTTTCGTTCGCCTATGATTTCTTATGATTTATATATGTTTTTGTTACAGGGGGCCCGCGAACATTTTCTGCTAGGCCTTACCGAGGAGGTTGGTTCGTTTGTTTGGTTGATGGTTTGCAATTAGGATTAGACAGTAGATTTTTTCTCTAAATGCCGTGATCCTCTTCCTCGATCTTCCATATTTTCACGCGTGTCTATCGCTACGCTTTCACTTCTATTACTTATATCTATACGTATCAATCTAAATGTATAAATATTGACCGTACATCTCTGCCCTATACTCTATGTATCTCTGTATCTGTAACACTGTTCTTTTTCTATGTATGCCCTACCTTCTATCTTCTGTTCACTCTATAACGCCAAATACAAGACGAAATACAAGGCTAGTCACTTAACTGGAACCACATCTAAAAGAAGTAAGTAATAACTTTGAAAATTGGTTTCGGTAAATGTTGTGTAATTTCGAAGGGGGTGTAATTAAAAGTTGAACAATTTCTGTCAGTGATGGACACGTGAAGCACGCGTCAAGATTGTATTTGGTTTATTTTTTAAATAGAATCATATATCTTTAAATACACTAATCGGTTCGATTCGTCGCTTTCCACGATTAAGCGTGGATATCAATTCGTGCATGAAAGCTATTACTTTAGGAAATACTTTAATTTCAATTACGCAGAACGTTCGGTAAAGTTCGTTTTCTCGTCAGGTCTTCGAACTATGTTCCCGTCATAAAGTTTTCTCTATCAGTTTTTAAAACTGCTGGTTAGAAGCAAACCTTGCGGTTGTTCCGTTATTTACATTGCTTATATAGAACTTAATTAGTGAAATAGCGAAATTATTCGTAGAAATGATAAAAAATTCATCGATGATACATTTTGTGCTAAATTAAAGCATATCATTGGAGATCAAATCAAACATCGGAAATCGGAGATAATCTAAATTTAAATAACTTTATATTTTAGTATTGTATAATTTGTTAATTGAATTTTCGTTAATTTACTAAAATATAGGTATGTGTCAAAATTCGTTAAATTTACTGCTATCTTATTATCGCTATTGTATTTAATTATCCTAAATAGATAATCTTTTATTGCATTTCCGTAGGCTTTTTAAATAAAATAATTGCATAAGCAATAACGTTCTCAAAAGTATATGATTTAGTTTGAAAATTTTCAATTAACCTGCTCGTCTGTTCGACATATCCGCCAATAAGAAAATTAATAGCATCGAATTATGCTCCCCTCGAAATCATATAATAATCAGCTGAATCAATTTTCGCTAAAGTTATTATTTATGGAATCGACAATTTAATTTCAGTCAAGTGGCTCACGTTGTATAATCCAGCTGGTAAACCTTATTTACGAAGCGTATAGATTTTGTACGCTTGTTCTCTGTGTCTGTGTAAGTAGCCTGACATGCATTAAAATGCACGTACGCACTATTACACGGATTCGTCCTAATATGAAAGACAAAGAATCCATCGTGTCGTCTTTCGATTTCAAACTGTCTTTGCAGGATGGTAGGTGACAGGTCGCTATCGATATGGATAAGATATTGTTGCGACAAGTAGATAGATTTCGAAACATTATTAAAGCAACATTCTTCGTTATACGAGTATAATAAGAAATAGCTATTTGAAATTATTTTATTTCTATCCATTATTTTCGTTATTGTTGGTCGAAAATGAAACTAGTATCAATTTATTTGAAATAATATGCTACATCAAATAATGAATTATTTAGTTATTTTTATGTTTCTCGTAAAGCACACTTTCGAGAATGGTACTTATCAATAAATAAATAACGAATCTAGAAAGAAAGGTCATCTCTGCTCGCTTTCAACTTTTCCTACCCTACCACCCCCAACTTCTACTCGTTTAGAATGAAAATGTCATCTCTATCCTTCTTCTTACTTCTTCATTCACCTTGTTTGACAACATGCCGAATGAAGTGTTCTCTTTGTCCTTCCATACTGGATTTGCAATAGAGTCCTACGGAGGTCTGTGTTCGTTTCAAAAAGCATGTAAAATCGTAATAAAAAATTCTTATGATCCGAACACGGACCAATAGATTCTCCAGGATGATCTTCTACCGTGGTCAATAACTTCTCCAACATAACAAGGTATGTTACATTAATTACTTATGTCGTCGAAGTTGTCGTGCTATTGCATCTAATGTTTCACACGTAGCAACGGTAATCTGTGATCTACCATCCTAGAAAAGTAGATTCCAATTTGATGGAGACGTGTCGGTTCCTCCTCTCATTGGGGACAAATGGCTCCCTTGACGATTCTTCTCTAGGATAATTGCCCAGACTCATTGCGTTGCCTATCCCCCGACGGGCAGAATCGCATTTTGAGTCATTGATTGCTATCGCCTGTTAGAGATAAAGATAGATGGACAGAATATGGAAAACAAAGTTTCGTGTCTCCTACGGACGTTGCTATTAAATTTTTCGTAGATTTACATAAACATTCGGTAGGATATTTTAGCAATAAATACAACGAGTTACGCGCGAGCGTCGTTCGATCTAGACCGAGCAGCGACACGTATGGAACAGAGGACATGAAATTCGATATCACCTCGGAGCGAGACTCTATGTTCGTATAGTCCAGTTTAATTAATAAGTTTGCCGATCCAAATCTCTAAGGCACGACGCGAAAGCTCATTAAGAGGGTCGAAAGGGTCGATTGTTATTATGTATCGACCGTATTCGACTCGCTTAACCCCTTGGCTGTGGCACGATTTTTGCTGGAAATTCTAAAGAACGCGGCAAGACAATTAATCGTTGAAACAATTTTCGAAAAATATCTCCTTATAGAGAACGACAAGACGAAACTATTCTATATTTACAGTTTATTCATCGGATATTCAATTTCAGAAATAAAAATTATAAGCTTGATTTTCCCGAAAGTCGATTACGTGTTAAATTATAAATCGATCGATCGACTCACTTCAGATATAACTTTAAATCAAAGAAGTTTAAGCGATCGCAATCGACAAAATTTAATGAAGATTGAAGCTTACGTAAATTGTACAAAACCTATCATATTTGTATCAGTTTGGAGAGGAACTATCTGTCAATACCCTCCTGTCGAAGTCACGTAATTTTGTTTGTGCACACTCTATAATGAACGGACAACAGAGGCGACTAACGTGTGTACAGCTTGTCGCATGAATCACTCTGGAACGACAATGTTCTGTCAATAATTGCGCAATATGTAAAGTTTAGGATTTGTTATCAGTTCATTGGTAACAGTATTATTGAGTAAATATGCTTCATTGTGTTTTGAGAATTAATATCGATACACGAATGAATCGTATTTGATGTATTCAACGAATTAGTAGTATACAAATTCGTACTTGTATTCAAACGTGTTTAATCCATGATACTACGGCCACTTTATAAATTAAACAATGAAGTAGTCAATGAGAGTAACAGTTCAAACCTTTGATAAATATTCAATTTTAAACTCAACGTATTGCAAAACCATTATTAAATTTAGGATATTTTCAGTTATTTACTCGTTCTTGTAAAATTTTATTTAGTATAGAATCTCCTCTTTTGTATTAAACTATTATAGACGTAGTACGTATATAACCTTCTAAGTATTTTTATCGAGTTTTTAATACCACTTTAAAGAATCTAATTTTAATTTCTAATTTTAATTTCTAATTGAATATCCTGTAGTTTTATTCATTCAATTTGAAAGTATCGTTAAATTTTTAGACTTCTGTTCCTTGAAATAACTAAAAGCGAATATAAAATATATCTATTTCAAGATATAGAACAATTACCAATTAGTATCATTAGATTTTCGAAGCTGCTTCTCTCAGAGACACTGAAGGTAGAATTTATTTGAGCTATGGAACTGTTTTTTTTTTTTTTCTTATTGTCTGACACACAAAAAGCCTACTAGTTTGTCATCACTCCGACCGCTCTTCTTGTCAAAATCTCGCGTCTATCGGCATTAGCTTGTCAATGTTTAGATGTGCGACTACCGCGTGCCGTTTTGTTTGTACGTGTGATTTTGTATGCACGACGCAAGGCACCCAGCTATGTGTGTACGTATGCTCGTGTTTGTGTTGCAACCCACGGAATTGGATTAACTTATTTCCATCGGTGTTCTTCGATGTTAGTTATCACCGTACGTCTAGGAACCACGGAAAACCGAATTCGCGATCACATAATTAAAATTTAATATTCGAAAGTTTCAAACACGGTTCGTTCCTTTTTTCTTATTTAGCTGTTGGTAGTATCGAAACTCAAACGTTCGCATACAACGTCCATTTATTTTTCATCTAATGAAAATTCTTTCTTTCGTTTGTCATTAAATGTAAAGTAATAAAGTAAACGTAATTCACAATAAATGTTTGAATTCGTTGAAGAAGAATTAAGAGACGAAGTCGAAACAATTTTTTTTTTTTTTTTTTCAGAATCAATCGACTTAACGGAAGATTTATTTGCTGGCGTTTGTTGTATAAGTATCGATTAACAAAAAAATAATTTTGATTTCGATTTTTTTTAATAAAATAGCGATCCTGGAGGCTGTACTATGGCAGCATTTTCGCATATTTCCTTTGGGGAGCGATTGTTGTTCAAACTTTCACATACAGGTTTCAGTTTAATTTTATCCCTTTACGTTTTCGCGTTTTTCGCGTACCTTTTCCGAGGAGTAAAATATAAAAAAATTACACGGCTCAAAAGGGAGAATATTGGAAACAATTTCGCAAACTTTTCTTTTGCTTGGAGAAGCTGCCGTAATATGTTTGAAATTGTACAGAGAGTATTGTTGAAAAACTTTCATCGAGTATACTTGTCTCGCGATGGCCGGCTTCAAAGTGTACGTATTTATTCTGTTGCTATGTTTTAAAACAAGCGACGATGCTTGCAAATACTTGATTAATGTCATTCACCCTCGAATACAGACAAATGTTTACTCGATATAGGTTCGAGTGTTTCAACCTATTCGTGGAAAGTTTCCTACAGTTTTACATTGGTTACTTACACTCGCATCCCGACTATTTACGTCTACTGAAATTAATGTTTCGAAAGCAATATTCGAGAAGTCGGGAACGCTTTTATTTA